ACCTAATCGAGAAAAAAAAATCTAAATGATTAAATACTAAGTCATTATTATGAGATAAAAAGACAAAATTGAGACATAATATATATATATATATATATATATATATATATGGTTAAAGTGTACCACAGAATGTACTAACAAACATTTATGCTAAACTAAAATATACTTAAATATCATAATTTCTATTTAAACATATATATTTAAATATTTATGTAATTACACTTTTTAATGTTGAAGTTGCAATTTAGTACATTTAAAATATATTAACTTTAAACGTAACATCCAATGACGCATAATAGTTAAGCTCAAGTCAATGAATAATCAAGTAGACTACTTTGCATGTGCTTTTGTATGTTAGTCAACACAATAAATAAATCTAATTCTTTAAAGTATGACAGAAGATTATTAAAAACATAATGATTTTGAATTTACTTTAAAAACTTAATTTGACATTATTTAAAAGTGCACTTTTTAAAAGCGTGCTTAAGTATGTTAAAAAAACATAGTCATGAACATGTACTCTTTTTAAATACACTTAAATGGCCTTTTATTTCATTAACATTATATTATCTGCAAGTACAGTTTTTGTTGAAGTTGAAGTACACTACACAAGTGCACATTCAATACAATTCACCGCACTTCTTTTTCGCAGGGGCATCCATTACATTGGCCTGTATGGGAGGGTAGAGTTTGCCAAAAACTGTAAGAGTGATCTAGGAATGATGTGGGATTTTATGGTCAGATGAAACCAAAACAGTGCATTTTAGATGTAATGTTTAGATTTGATGTGATACAAGTTGAGTGCTTGTCTCACATTTGTCAAACATACTATTCATTTTTTTTTTAAATTCAAATAATACCAAATAAGGCTTTTAAATTAAAATAATACAATTTACATGCTTTCAAAAAAAAAAAAAAAAGTAATTAAATAATGTGGATTTAAATGTAAATTTAAATTGGATTTAAAACATTGAATATCTTTGAAAGACATAAAGGTTCAGGAAACCTACTGCTCATTTTTATCCAGACACGATGATGGAAAGGTACACACAAGCACACAGCTGTCCTTGTTCTGTGCACAATGAAAAATTAATGAAAATACTTTGAAAGTGTGTGTCTATGTTTGTGTTGTTTGTGTGTGTGTGTGTGTGTGTGTATGAATATATGTATGAATAATACATTTGTGGTAATTAATTATCTGTGTTCGTGTCCTATGATTGTGTGTTTAAGCTTGTAGCTTGTGTATTTTATGATTTATTGATTGTGCATGAGAGACAGAGAGCATTTTTAAAGGCTGGTTACCACACAAAACATGCTCCTATTTAAAATTAAACCCGGAGTCTTTACACAGTCATAACAGCTCATTTAAAGAAACAGCTAACGTTAACGTCACAGAAACATACTAAGATAATGAAACTCAACTTTTCCTTTTAAATTAATGTATGTGTGCGTATAGTATGTGTGTTAAAGATCGTGAGTGTAAGTGACTCATAAGTGTGTATACTACTTAGGGTTTGTGATTTAATTGCTTCAGATGGCAATACAACAGGGAGTTTCTTTGCATCCTTCATCGAAATCTTCTGAAAAAACAAACAAAAAAACAGTTATTTTAACCTTTATGAATTGTTAATGCTGCTTCTCTGTAGGGCTTTTCACTTTCTGAATCTATTCGTCTGAATAGAAACTGAATGTTTATCTTATCTTACCTCACTCATTCACACATCTCTCTCCCTTGCTTTATTTCTCTCTCACTTTCACTCTCTCTACTCTTATGTCTTCATATTTAACATCTAGTTCTAACTTATTATTTATTGATAGAGGAAAGAGGATGCAAATATTTCTTTTATGTATTTTTGTCAATTTAACTGAAGGCTCTTTAGTCTTAGTTCCGTGCCTTAAAGTATAGAAATAATAAAGGGTTAGGTCATGTGATTATTCATGTTTGGTGATGCCCATTAGGTCCATCAGGGGTTTTCATAATGGGGGCCACAAACGAGCAGAAAATTTGAGAGAAGGGGTATATATTACAAAATATATAATTAAAATATATATTATATCAAAAATATTTTTAAAACATTTTATATATACAGTGGGGAAAATAATTATTTGATCCCCTACATGTTATATTTTACTAATATTTAAATTTGTTTGATGATCTGAAACATTAAAGTGTGACAAACATGCAAAAAAATAAGAAATCAGGAAGGGGGCCAACACTTTTTCACACCACTGTATATATGACCTATGACCTTTGTCAATAAACTATCTTTGCTACTAAAAGCGACATTATTTTTTAGCATCAAGGTGGTAATGTCACTGTTTTTTAAGTAATTCAATTTAGAGCTTCACAATTAGTAGAGAGATGCTGCATAAACACAGGTAATTCTTGATTTTTACTACTTGAATTTACTTTAGATCTAACAAGCCATGAATAAAATAATGAAAAGTAACTGTTATTTTTATCCATCCAGTCAATTTTATACACTGCAAACATAAATTATAACTTTAACTTGTCTGTTCCGCCAAGTGGCCATAGTATAAGCAGACTATACATGTCTACATATGTGTTCATGAAATACACTTTTACCTTTCTCACTGGGGTTCTAAGGTAATAATTATCTGTAAAACTGTTTATAAGATTACTGTAGTGGGTAGAAAAGTATACACTTTCATCTTAATATGAAGTAAATATTTTCCAGTTAATATTTAATCATTTACCCTGTCACCCTGGACCACAAAAACAGACTTAAGTGTCAATTTTTCAAAATTGAGATTTATACATCATATGAAAGCTGAATAAATAAGCTTTCCATTGATGTATGGTTTGTTAGGATAGGACAATATTTGACTGAGATACAACTATTTGAAAATCTGGAATCTGAGGGTGCAAAAAAATCAAAATATTGAGAAAATCGCCTTTAAAGTTGTCCAAATTAAGTCTTTAGCAATGCATATTACTAATCAATAATTAAGTTTTGATATATTTACGGTAGGAAATTTACAAAATATCTTCATGGAACATGATCTTTACTTAATATCCTAATGATTTTGGCATAAAAGAAAAATCTATAATTTTGACCCATACAATGTATTATTGGCTATTGCTACAAATATCCCCGTGCAACTTTACACAGGTTTTGTGGTCCAGGGTCACATTTATTTTTGATTTAGCACAATGACAATATAAAAGCCAGTTGTTAGGAAACAACATGCTGATCTGTGATCATCACACTTTTTTTTTTTTACTGATATCTCTCATACAGTGTAAATGAGTCTTCATAAATATAGCTGTCTTTTTGTTGTAGGAAGGGTGTCCCTTGCAAGGGGATCACCACATAGTATTTAACACATATTTTCATTTAGGTTCTTAGGTTTAAAATCGAGCTCCATGCTTTAAAACTGTGCATATCTTACCAGTTGGCTTTCTGAAATTCAACCAGGCAAGAGAACATCGGTCAAAACTAGAGAACAAACAAGGTGTTGACACTGAATGCCACATGGCAGTTTCCGTCTTATCACTGGTCTTCCCCCTCGGCAGAACTTCTAGGTCACTACCTT